CCCCCCACCTCCCTCAGAAGGTCCTCTCCCCACACCTGGCAGCCTGGAATTGGGGTGATCCCTAAATGCCAACGAGGAGCTGGGGGTTGTGGAGAGGAATTGCCACAGGAGCCAAAGGACTTCTAGCCTAAAAGCAAGCATTAAAATAAAATGTTTTCTGTCCAGTGATGTTAAAGGGATGTTAATGCCTCCTACTATACTTCAATAAAAAAAGTTGAAAAAAATGTTTTGTCGGGGCCAGAATCCCTCTTTTTGAGAACTGGCCAAGTGGGTGAACAGAACGCAGCTCAGGGCTCCAGCCTCCTGGGTAAAGAGATGGAAGAGGATGGTCACTGACTTTTTAGCTGTTGACAAATTTCACGCTGTCGGTGTGTCTGCAAAGGGTGGACAACAGACAAGGGTTTCTGTGTCTGGAAGAGGAGCTGTGTGAGACAGTACTGAAGACATACAGCATTGGATGTGGTAGGTCCCAATGACTGGTTGGACCTGTCATCTTTAAGGTTATGTCCTCATCCGTAAGTGGGGGGTTATAATAGTACCCCCCCATAAGTTGTGCAGTTCAGTGAGATAATGCATCTAAGCCTGCACACACAAAGCTCTCTCCAAATGTTAACTGTTGTTTGTTGATTTTTATCTATAAGACTAATTCCACATCTGCTCTATCTTTTCAGAAGTCCCTATGGTCCACTACACATTATTGCTTGAGATAAACTGCAATTCCTTAAATAATTTGCATTCCAGTCATGCCTGCATGTGCCAATCCGTTTTTGAGGGCAAGGAAAACACTTTGATCAACTCTTATAAACTCACTATAAGTTACCATAAAGAGAGCTAGACTTTTTCATTAGATACTGATCTTTATATTGAAGTTTAGGATAATCCTAGCCTGAAACCTTTATACTGATTACAGCCTGTATTTAAGAGATAGTGAGAGAGCAGAAACAAAGAAGTCATGAGAGGAGTTACCTCACTTGTATGGTCTGGTACGTTTTATGAAGATGGTGTTGAGCTGCCCTTCTGCCGTTTATAATTCCAGTTCAGCTCTTAGTTACTTGCCTTAATGGAGGAGGGCAGTGACACAAATCCTAATCTCTGAAAATATAATTTGGCTTAAGAATGAATTAACAGGATGATTTTCTTTTTGAACATCAGCTTTATCATTATAATTATGCTTCATTCAGACTAAATCTAGTTTCCTGTAAAAATAATTTACATAGTTTGAAAACGCACCGAATAATGCAAAGGGAAGTATGTTAGAGGCCAAGGAATAATCACAATGGGGTTAATGGGAAACACTTTCATATACCAAGCTAGTTCCTTCAGGTATCAGTTTAAGTTGTGGCTTAAATATTGTAATTATTTGGATACATGAAAAAGAGATTGGACCAAAATTCTTATTTCAGCCTTTGAACTCCCTTTAAACGGACTGTACTGGGTCTCTTCTAGAAAGGCCACTTTTAATGTTTTATGAAATCAAAACTTTTTCCCACAAGGATTTAAAATAGCTATTATATTTTGAGTCTGACCCCTGTGAAAAAATGACTTATGTGTCTTTCCAAGATCTTTGAAAGTTGGCACTGACTCACATGCTTTCCGGGCACAATTTGTTTTTTGGGTTTCTGTTTTCCGTGGGTATTCAAAATAAATAGGTACTTGTTACTGAAATAGGAAAAAATAGCGTACCACAAAGCTGATTACAGCTGGTGCTGGAAAGAATCTTGCCATCCAGTTGGAAATATTTTTCCAGTTTGCTGACCTGTTTAAAATTCCTAAGAGCTAAATCTTTCCAGTTTTCAAACATCAAATTCATTCTGAGGTCAGTGTGGACGATTCTAGGGAATTAAGAAATAAATAGCTTTGGCTTTCTGTTCTAATACTTGTCTTATACCAGAAAGGAAGTGTTTATTGAGTATTTTAAGTGCTACCACGATTACTGCTTTGTAATGAGTATTTGTGTTAGATTAGAAACAATCTTCTGAAAAGTCGTTAACTGCTGCTTCTCAACCCAGTCCCCACTGATGGTTCTTTCCAACCACGTAGCACATGACAGCGCTCACCTAGAGCAGTGTTTTCAGAAAGTGTCATCTGTGGATGATACAGTGTGAAGGCTCAGTTTTCCCTGTAGTCTTTGGCATTTGCTTATACTATATCTATGTATGCTATAATACTATATGTATTCTTCAGCTGTATGAATTATAATATATTCCCATGTCTTAGTGTTTTATCAAAAATCACACTGTTTTCTTCATTGTTGCTTGACTTTTCTGCAGTGGCAAGGAAAATCATCAGTTCCTTAAGTTATCTTGCTCCACTAAAGAGGCCCTCAAAAAAAATTCTTGAACTCTAAATAGCTATTTAGGAAATGTTTACTTTAAATATCTGAAGATCTTTCTCCATCTGTTTCTAATTACTGTACATGGCATCATATTTCACTATGCCAGGAGCCTTAATAATGAGGGAGGAGAAGGAAATTTTCCTACCAGCTTTACAGGGAGCCCTTTTTCTGATCAGCTTCTCCCCTCCAGCCTTGCTGGTGTTCCTCTGTTGTAAGCAGCATGGAGCTGCCTCTTAACTGGTCTTCCTGATCAGTCTTGTCTTCTTGTTACTAAGAATTCAGTCGCTGAGAGCTGCCCCACATATTCAAGATCAAATCCACACTCTAAGGGTTATATGTAAGGCCCTTTATCATGATCCAGCCCATCTTTATTTCTTTTGATACTCAGATGTAAGAAACTGCTTGCAGCTTCCCGAATGTAAGCCACTTCACTCCCCCTGAACGTGTACCCTTTCCTTTGCCTGCAGGGCCTTCCTGGCTTGTGTATGCTTAGCTAATTGCTATTTCTGTTTGACTCAGCTTTGGTGTTACTCAAGTATTCATTCCTCTGTGAAGCCGCTTTGATACTGTCTTTCTTCTTGGAGCCATCTTCCCGTGTGTTCCTTGTCAAAATGTAAACAAACTCCTGCTTTATGTTTAGCGTAGGAAACTACAGAGGCCCTTGTGTTTGATATAAGCTTGTAAATTTCCTCAGAAATAACTGCCGTCGTGGTGTTTCTAAAACTTACAGTGGCATCAGGGGTCAAGGGTGAGAGAGGGAATATACAAAGGGATAATAGCCGGACAGTCCAGGAAGCTAAGCAGTAACTTCTGTAATAATCGGCCCCAAATGGCCAGGACTCCATCGGTAACTACCAGCCTCCCGAATTTTCATCCTTGCTTCCAACTTGAAGCCAACTAGAGCAAGTCACGCCTGCACCTGTAGATCACAGAGGATGCTCCAGTCCCGGTCAGCCCGCCAGCAGCAGCCCCTGCCGACAGCCTCCAATCAGGGAGCTCTGAGCCGCCCCTTCTCCCCCTGGAAATAAAACCTCATTCCTCAGCTTGCCTTTGAGTCCCAGCTCCCTTGCCGTAGCACGCTCCGAATAAACTGCCTTTGCTTTTCTATCAGTATAGTTTATAGACCTTATTTCCTGTGCTACCTATGTTTTATAACTTTCTACATGTTTTATAAGCAGAGGTTTATATTTTTATAAAGGTGAAGACAGGTTAAGTAAAGAACAAAATCCCAAATTTTAGTCTCATGAGAGATGTTTGTCTCAGATATTGTCATTCAAAGCTTTTTATTCTGTTTATTAAATCATAATTTTTAAAAAAATCAGTACATGAAAGAGATTTAAACATCAAATACAAAATAAATACATTTAGGTTTTAGGTTAAGTATTCTTTTATTCTTGTTTTTAAAATATTAAGCATGAATGTTGAATTTTATCAAATAATTTTTGTACCATTTACTGTTTTTTATTTAACCTATTAGTGTAACATTATATACATTTCATATTACTTGGCTGTGTATTTGGTGAATTGTTTTGGTGAATTATTTTTCATAAAATACTCTTAATCTGTTCACTAATTTTCTAACGGCTCTTTCACTTTTGTAAAGTTTCAAAAAGTGACCAGAACTTACACCCTGGTTTTTTTGGTTTTTTTGGGTTTTGTGGATCTTTTTAATATACCCTCCTTATTTCTACAATTGGATGACTAATAAGGCTACTTTGAACAGTTTTGAAACTATGAAAAAGATAGCTTTTTATCTGTCTAGTGCTTTATTTTACTGAAGTTACTCAGTGTATTTATTGTTTGAATTTTCTGTTAACAGATACTCCCTTCGGAGAGGTAGCTCCTTCACATTTTTAACACCTGGCCCCCATTGGGACTTCACTTTGGTGAGTAGGCACCTGGGATTTTTATTTCAAGGCATTAGACAGAAATCATTCCTGGGTTGCCTTTCTGTCTGGTGTACAGCTCAGTTGTCTGTACCTCCCTGAAAACCTTTAGGTGTGGGGTTTCTAGCACCATCTTTGTCAGCCTGATTTAATTCTTTTCTGCTAAAAAAAGAAATTTTTATTTCAATTAAATATAAGATACAATTTGAAAAGTATTGGCTCTATTCATCTTGAACTCCATGCATTTCTTTCTCTTATTCCTACCAGTGTTAAAATTAAGAGAATATGTTATGAAACATGAAGGTTTTTTATGTACATACTCTAACAGCTTTTTCTTGGTTGAAAAATAACTTAAATGATTATAGATAACAAATACATAATGGATGGATGATTTTCTTATTAATCATCTTAGTCTAGAGGGACTGCTTCATTATTTTTAGAATGAGACTTTACAGAGGCATCTAACCTTGTGCAAAGTGACACCAGAAAATTGAGGAGTTTTTGTAATTAAACACTCATTATTTCATAATACTCCTATAAATAAAGTATGTACAAAGACAGCATGATTCTTACGCTTTTCTTATTTGGGGGAAATAGCAAAAATGATTCTTTTCTGGTTTGCCAAACCTTACTTGTGTGCATGTGCTGATGATGTGCTGCTGGGTTCAGCACCACACATTTCATTTAATTCCATTCTGTTGTATTTAATGTTTCTGTTGGGGACTTCTGCTCAAGATTTCTGTACTCATTTATGTACATTAATTGGTCGGTAAAGCATTCATAGCAAGAGTCTCCTGATTTTAATGCACTTCCACATTTTCCTCTGAAACCTTTTTCATTTTGGTCCCTTCCCTTACTAACTGATCCTAAACTTAAATAGAAAAACTGTAGTAGAGAAGTGTCTCCAAATTTGATTTTGCAAGCCTATCAGCAAAAATATTTTGAGCATTAATTACCCTAATACAGTCTTTTATCATGTTTAGGTACATTATAGCTATTGTCTCAAAGCACAGTACTCACTTCGGGTGAGGTTAATGATAGTGGACATAAATCTGTATGTCAAATAGTCAGGACAGTTTCATAGCTTGGGGCTGACTTCTAAATTGGATGTGATTAGACTGCCACTGTCTTTAACTCACATTTGAAAATGTAGGTGATGGTGAGCTCATCACCTGTATGTTACATTTTAGTAAAGCTTATTTTTAAGGATTGAGAAATACATAGAAACAAAGTGCTGACACTTTCCTCCTGCACTGCAGGGAAGGTAACTTGCACGTCCTCTGGGATGGGGACATCTCACTCGGGAAAGCACTTTTGTAGAGGGTTCTGTGACAAAAGAAATATCTCACGTTCATGTACTAAAACTTTTGAAATATGATTAAGGAATACTAAGAGGGAGATTTATAACTTAAATACATAGTTTAAAAAAGGAAAAGGACAAAAACTAAGCATCTAACTCAAGAGGTGAGAAAAAACAATAGAGTAAATCAAAGAAAATAGGAGGAAAAGTAAGAGCAGAGAAAGTGACAAACACAGACAACACACGTAATGATGAAATGTTAGGGACATTCCCCTGAAGTTAGAAAGCATGCCGTCATCATGTTTACTCAGCATTGTGGTAGTGCTGCTGCCAACACAGTAAGACAGGAAAACAAATGATACAAAAGTTAGAAAGGAAGAGCCAGTACGATTTCATACTTAGAGACGATATGATTGTCTATGTAGAATATGCAAGAGAATATTAATAGCAACTATTAGAACTAACAAGAGTTTGAGCAAGGCTATAAAAATTACAAAAATCAATCAATAGAATATGTGTGTGTGTATACACACACACCCCTAATACATGTATACGTATATTATATATGTATACATGTATACATATATTTTATATTATGTCTATATATATTATATATATGTATGTATACATATATTAGGGGTAAATTTTTAATGATGCTTTTATTGAAATAAAACTTAAAACTAGGAATAAACCTATGAAAAGATCTGTGAGACTTACTCCAAAGGTACAGAAATTACACAGCATAATATGGGTGCAGGTCTAGATAAATAGACCAATGGGATAAAATCGAGAGCCCAGAAACTGAGTAACACGTATGTGAGCACTCACTGCGTCGCAGGCCGTGTGAAGGCGGGGTGCTCTCAACAAGGGTATTAGGTGCGGGGGCAGTTGGCTGAAGCACCTCATACCACATGCGTACAAAACTACATTCTAGGTGGGTTGAACATACAGATATGGAAAGCAGAACTTCAAAATATTTAAATGAAAATACACTAGAATATTTAAAAGTCTGTCAAATTTCTTTATACAACTGCCCCCACATGAGCATGGGTAAGAGTCTCTGTAAGTACGTAAGGGCGACCATGTACGTGCTTTATTCCCATCAGTACGGTCTGCTTTTTGCTTGGCAGTGTCCTCCTGTGAAGGTCCTTCCCTCCCCAGCTGCACTCTGACCCGTCAGCAACGCTGTGTGTGTCCCTCTGTGTTCTGCTCGTAAAATCACTTACAAATTATATTATTCAAGTAATATACAAATACATATAAATGTCATATACAAATAATATATGATTATATTATTCATACTTGTCTGCATCTTCTGGATATAACCTTAGGATCAGGAAGGACTTCTTGAGTTCTGTCATTTCATTGTTTTAGTTTTTCCCAATTCTGATTTACAGCGTTCTTTCGTGTCCTGTATCATTTTCTTGAGTCTTTTAGCTGAATTTGAAGTACAGTGTTACAGGTTTGCTCTGCTGCCTCGAGCATCTCCTTCTGAGGTGACCTCCTTCCCTGTAGAGATGTTATTCTGCCCCTTATGCTCTTTTTTCTTAGAGTCACTGTGGGTAGGATTTGACTTGGAGAACTTTCTGTTCATTTGAATGGGGATTTAGTTTTCCTGAACTTCTACAAAGAGGCTTGGTTCAGGCAGCTTTTCCAACTTCGTAGCGCGCCCTCTTTTGTTTTCATGAGGGCTTGCTTCTGAGACTTCCAGGCTTGATATATTTTCTCCACTTCTGTGTGGACTTTATTTTTCCTTTTCTTTATTTGGTTCTCACCAGCTTCTCCTCAGGTGGGGCCAGCACCTGGGAGGGAGCCCTGGCTGCTCAGTTTGGAGAGTTCAGGAGAACGAGGCTGTATCACAAGTAACCTGAAACGTTAATCTGAGATGTGGGAGAAGAAATGTACTTAAGGATTCTTCTTCAATACTGATAAAGGACTAGAAATTAAAGACCTATACACAGTTTTGTCACAGCTGGTACCAGTAGGACTGAATGCAGGTGATGAGTGATTACTGGAAAGTACTCCAGGGACACGCAAGTTCATCTTCCACCTGATAAATCCTGCTTCAGGCAACAAATCTTAATTAACTTGGGCCAGAAGAAAAGAAATTTTTTTTTCTAGTGGAGATCCCTCACCTCCCTCCCTCCGTAATATAAATAATATGTGTTCCTTTCCTTAAAAACTTACTGACTTTATATATAAAACATCTGCATTTTCTCTGACAAGTATAGACTTGACTTACATGACAGTTCTGTTCTGAAAAACTTTACATGAGTGAGGTTTTAATAGGGTGGGATCACTTCACAACAAGAGATGGTTTAGTCAGAGGGAACTTTTTAGACAGTAAATAATAACGTGCCAGAGATCGTTTATGAGCATCCCTCAAAAATAATTTTCTTATGAACACAGCCTAAGACTTCACTTTATAAAAGTGATTTTACTAGTTGTTTAATGGAGTAACATGCATTCCTTCTAATTAAGAATGAAATCTTTTCTTTTTTATAGAAAAGAAAACGAAGAGAGAAAGATGATGATGTCGTCAGCCTTAGCAGCCTCGATCTGAAAGTAAGCCTCGCTGCTCTTGCAAAGAAAAGCAGTTTAAAATACACAGTGCTTTGTTTCTGTGCTATAAGAATAATGGAAGCTGATTCTTTTGTTTTTTGGGAGTTTTTGCATTTCGCATTTTTAAGGGTAACACTGAGTAACACTGGCTCTTAAGATACCCTCTTTCTTCTGCTCTACTTCTTTGGTAAGAATGAGCAGAAAACCTCCTCCAAAACAGTGCTGCGCTGTGACGGAGATCACAGCCCAGGCGCCTAGGGAGACCAGGCACCAGGCCTGCCCCTTCGGGCGGCACCGCGGGGGGCAGCGTCCCCTGTGCTCTAGCCCACGCCCCGTGTGGCCCTGTCGGAATCGGGGTTTTATGCTCAGTCGCCTAAATGTTGAACGTTGGCTTCCCTTTGCTTCTCTGGGCCCAAGTGCTGAAGCCTTGCGGGTCTCATAGCTGTTCAGTTTGCCACTATCTGACCAACAAAAAGGTTTTGGGGGAAACACGGTCTCTTTTTTTGGTGTACATTGGGTTTTCTGTTTCGCTATGCTAGTTGCTCCATCTGCTTTTTTTTACTTTAAGAAGTGAAGATCTGTCATTAACATATTGAGTAAGCCAACAGAATGATAAAGCTGGTCAAAAGATATAGGAAACACTGAAGTATTCTGGTCACTGAGAGAGAGAACGATGGGATAAGACTGCTAAATTGGATACGAAACAGATGAATACCCTCATCTTCATCGCTGCCTACAGAACATATTTGCATTGCTCTCAGTTTGCTGCAGAGTTAACATCTACCCTTACAGATCTGTAAAAAAAAACAAAAACCTAATCAGTTGCAAATAGTGAATCAAGAAAAGGGTATACACCTTAGAAAATGAGATTCTCCAATGAAGAGGCATTCAGGAATCCTTTTGTCTGGTTTCCAGTTTTGGATATTTTATTTGTAATTCTTTCCTTAGTTTTATAACCTTTCTAATTCTGATTTATGTTCCTTCATAGCTGGTTTTGGAATAGTTACAGTTTTTGTGAGCATGTTTTCCTACCATGCTTTCACTTTTTGTAGGGATGTTATTTTTTCCCCTTACACCTTGTTTTCTTATAAAAACTTTGCAATGGATTTAACCACGATTCTTTTTTATTGGCCATTGTTATGTGAAAGTAGTTTTAGAAAGGAGGAGTTGAGTCAGGAGAGCTTTTCCATCTTCATGACTCTGAAATTCCCTCTTCTGTGGTCTGTAAGAAGTAAGAAATATAGATATATTTCCCGAGTTCTCCAGGACCTGTTTTTCTCCTCAGCATTTATTTGAACTTTCTCTTTCCTGTGTATCTGTCACCTCTGTTCTGTTGTGTTTGAAACCTGTTCCCAGAGCTTGTGCCACAGTGGAGGGCTTTTGTCCTGGGGATGAGCTTGGAGAGTCCCGAGGCTCAGGTGTTCCAGCCACACACCTTGCTGTCATTTGAGCACATCCAGCCCTTGTCAGTGTCCGCTGCTGCTCTCGAAGTGGCCTGCCTCACTCTGCAGCTTGGGCCTCTCCTCTGCGCAGCTCTGGCAGACGCTTTGTTATTTTTCTCTTCTCTTTTCTAGTACCGTATACGTCTTACCGTTGTTGCCGATTTATCCATATTAACTTGTGCTTTTGGATTCATGGAATTGTGCACCTTGTTACACAGGCTGAGCATACTGACTTTGCGTTTTGGTTTTGCTGTCCTTGTTCTATGTGTTTTTATGGAAGGGTTTAGAAAAATTGTAAAACTGTGCTGCTGCCACTGACTTATTCCCAGAATTCTGCCTCACATTGGTTTGTTCCCGGGGTGGTGAAATTCCTTCATAGTTGTCCATTGCTTTAAAGGTAAAATCCAAATTCAGCTTTCCTCTAAACCTAATTTACTTGTAGCAGATTTTATTGACATTGAATTTGCTGGAATTATTTGAATTACTATCATTTTTTGGATAAAATATTATGAGATAATACTCATCAACTAGCCAAAGATAGGCTTCTACTGTCCTTCAAAATTAAGCACATTTTAGGGCAATAGTCATATATTTGTATGTACTATTATTAACTTCTTTAGATTGAGGACTTACATTCAAAAAGGAAATCCTTATAAAATTTTGGTTTTGCTAAACACACGTCCAGCTGCACAGAGAATAACGCAGTGATGTCGTCTCCTTGTCTCCCAAAGCTGAGGATTCATGTACAACTACGATAAGGAAAGAATGAATCTGAAATAATTCTTTACTGAGTGTTATCCCTGTATACTCAGAACTCCACTGGAGTCTGGTCTAAATTCTTTGTTTTATTTTATTTTTCAATTCCACATATGTTCATGGAGCGCCCACCATGTTCCAAGTGCTGTACTAGGCCTTAAAGATAAGACTGTACAAGCAGGAACCAGGACCTGTGACAAAATCCACTCCTGCAGAGGTT